AGATTCTGACAGATGGGAAAAACCAAGAAAAGGTAATGGTATGGTTAAGGGAGCAGGCTCTCAAATCAAACTGTTAGATTTCAAATCTTGTCTCCACCACTAACTAACAGTATGTAAGTTTATTGTGTGCTTCAGTTTTGTTATTTATAATATTAGGATAATAATAGTATTTTACCTTAAAAGGTAGTTGTGAGAATTTAATGAAGTAATACATGTAAGAAGATTAGAACAATGCCTAGCATATTTATGTGCTCATTGTCACATATCATCATTATTAGTGATTTGACTGGTAATAATGACTATTCAAAATTCCAAAGATCCATGGGGCACCTGGGTGGCTCAGTCGGTTAAGTGTCTGCCTTCAGTTCAGGTCTGCCTTTAGCTCAGGTCATGATATATGGGTCCTGGGATCGAGCCCCACATGGGGCTCCCTGCTCAGCAGGGAGTCTGCTTCTCCCTCTCCCTCTGCCTATTCCCCCCTGCTCCTGCTGTCTCTGTCTCTCTCTCAAATAAAGGAATAAAAATCTAAAAAAAAATTCTAAAGACACAAAAATTTACCTAGAAGCATTTTTGATGATTTTCTTACCGTTTATCCAAAGCTAGAAAAAACTGGCCAAAATACGTTCTAAATTCTCGGATTTTAAATACAATTTCACATTTACACCAGAATATATATTGGTTGTAAGATAGTTAGAATAATAATACCCTGCTTTTACTTCTTTTCCCCATAATACAGGTACAAGTTTGATTTAAAATAGTGAATTAAATATATGAAGTTCCTTTTATCCTTTTGTAACTCTCAGCTCCAAATGATATTATCATCCCTACCATTTCTGTATGTTTCCAGTCTTTCCAATGATCTCTAAACTTTCTATGAAAGCAGAGAATATGTTTTCTATTTATTTATCAGTCTCATAAGCACTTTGCTGTCGAAATATTTGGTTTTTTATATTCTACTTATTTGACAAGTGAAATCCACTTCTGCTATACTTGATAACACACCTTCTAATAACCAAAATATGTATTTAATCAGAGCCTTTATGTCTTATATTGGATAACAGAATCAGTTTTAGTTCTTAGTAGTATGATTAAGAAATTGTTTAAATAAATTATGATATATAAAGGAATATCATGAGATCATTAGCTACAAGGGTGTATCTTTCAAGTACATGGTAAGATGTTTATAGTATAATGTCAAGTTTTAAAAAAAGACAACAAAATTGCATGTATAGAATTAAGTCTTTAAAAAAATTGTCTATACAATGTTTATATACTCAGAAAAATGAATGAAATATGTATAAAACAGTAGCATTTTTTCTTTGTTATATCAAATATCCGTTTTATCGAAAAATAATAAATCTTAAAAAATGGAAAAGTAAATTCAGATGAACTTTTAAATGAGGTTTCAAAATTTGAAATGAATACTTACTTTACAACTTTGCCATACTTGGAAAATATCTGAAACAAAAGACCACATAATAATTTACAATTTAATTTTAAATCATAAGAAACATTAGATTTTCAGGTTGTATTAACTATGTTCTTTGTTAAAGCTTGTGAAAAATTTTAGCCTTTATTCTATAAAGTAGGCCCTAGAAGATATATGTTTTTTAGTGACTAGAATAATATTCATATTTTTGTTATTGGAGTCACAGGTATCTGCCCCAATTTCTAAATTTCTAACAAAAGAGTGCGGAGAAAAAAACCCACTCTTTATGTGTGGTAGATTGAAGGCATACACATTGCACAGCTGCTGTGTTTTTGTGGTATATCCATGGCAATTATCAACCCCACCATAGCCTCAGAGAAATCATGTGCTTCAAATATCAATGTTGTGGAATATCATTATTCTTAGCTAACCCCATTAAGCAATAACTGTTTCAGAAGACGGATCCTTAGACTGCTTATAAAACAAAAAAGCTTCTGTAATAAAAATCCATTCCCATCAGTCTCCCTCCTTCTGCGCGCTCTTACTATGTTGGTGGTTCTTTACACTTGGCCCTATCTTCCCATTTACTTCTACATCTTCAACCTAAGCAATCTCATCTATTTGTTTCAGCCACTACATATATGCTAATAGTTCCTATTTATTATGTCTTAGAAAGATCTTTCAGAAATATTAATATACACAATTAATAATAGAGTTTTATGATTAAGTTGTGTAATGCTGGAATGTAGTATAACTGGATTGCAGTGTTAGAAACACTGAATCTTGAAGACCAAAACAGTCTTCTGTGTAACACTTTCTAATGGCTTCTCATTTCACTCAGAGTCCTTACCATTATCTATGTAGGCCCTACCTGGCATCCCTTCATAGGCTTACCTTCCTCTGACTGCCCTTCCTCCCTCTCCACTGGATTTACTCTGTGCCTGACATGCTTTTCCCCCAGACATCTACACAGCTGTCTCTTACTTCCTTTAGGTCTTTATTCAAAAGTTACTTTCTCAATAAGGGCTTTAGACAGCTCATGTAAAACGTTACCTCCATTCCCAACCTGACTTTTTTTTTTTTTAAGATTTTATTTATTTATTTGACAGAGAGAGACAAAGCGAGAGAGGGAACACAAGCAGGGGGAGTGGGAGAGGGAGAAGCAGGCTTCCCGTGGAGCAGGGAGCCCAATGCGAGGCTTGATCCCAGGACCCCGGGATCATGACCTGAGCTGAAGACAGATGCTTAACGACTCAGCCACCCAGGCGCCCCATCCCAACCTGACATTTAATTAACCTCCTTTATTTTTTCTCCTTAGCACCTGACATCTTAGCATTAATTTAGTATCCAAAGAATAATATCATTTGACTTTTTTATATTTCACATTGTTTTATCTTGCTATGTTATGAGTGCCAAGATTTTCATCTTTGTGTTCATCGATGTATTCTTAGTACCTATAAGAGTGCTCAGCATATGGTAAGTTCAATAAATACAGACATATCTCTATTTTGATACAAGGAAATAAGCTAAAGTGCATTTTCTCCTTTGTTATTTGAGACTCAGGCTATCTCAGTTAAGTAATTAATCAAATACTATGTATCACCTATGCAGCATCTCTGTACTTAACATCCACCCAAAGAAGCAGAGAGAAGAGGGCACACTTGGAAGAAAGGATTCATGTCATTCCTTCCAGTTCCTCTTAACCACTCATCTGCAGGACAGGGACAGCAGGAAATTTTGTTCTCTGTAAGGTGAAGAGGTGAAAGATGTTGGATTCTGCCCCAACCCCATCCTGAACTGAAAAACAACATTAAACTGTTCGGTTTCTGCCATATATATAAACTAAAATATCCTTTTAGAATTTGAGGGTTAGTAAAGGGATCTGTTTGCTTTCATCAGCCCTTTCCTCCAAAACCTCCACCCTACCAGTTTAAAAAAACCAAGTAAGCAAGCAGGAAAAACCAGCCTATCACAAGTTGCTCCCACTTCATTATGCTAGCTGTGTCTTCTGTGTTTATAAAGAACTTGTTATTCTCTATGAAAGCACTGTAAACTCTCTTTGGGAAATTACAAAATTGTCAATTGCTTTACTTATGTTTGCAATAGAGGTCTTTGCTATTGATGGTTCAAGTGCATTGTAATGTAGTTATTAAGAATTTTGCCGAAGAGAACTGTGTGCTTAAGCTACATCTGTACCTCAGGTAGAGAGTTCAGTGGACAATTGTACTAAAAGTTACTTACCCGGTATAAGTCATTGTTGGTCAGGGAAAAGGGCAAGTTGGATACATACACTGTGCTTTTACTTGGGGCCAATCCACCACTCATCTCTATAACGAAAAACAAACCCAGAAGCAATCTAAACCAGGTATTCTTCATTCTAAGCAGAACCAATATATACAATCATTGATTTAATTATGCCACATTTAATACACCTTCCTCACTTTTTAGGATTAACAATTACTCCAGCTGGGTGAATTAAGGAATTTCTTTTCCCCAGATATTACTGAAAAGGAGCTTTCTGGTCTTTCTTTCAAGTAGAGTCTTTAACCATTATAGTGCTGGATTATATGGTATGAAGGCAGAATGAGTTTTAAACAGATAAATAAAAAATTCTGAGGCTTCATTTAACCTTCCCTCAAGCTAAGGGCAAAAAAGTGCTTTTGAAAAGGCTTAATACCTTGCCTACCACATCATAAACAGCCTGCTAGCTCAGAAAGAACTGTAGCCGCTCATTTTCACTACTGCTTTGGTTTGGGGTACTTTTTTGGTTGTCTTAATATTTTTCTTTGCAGTAGTGTTAAGAGAAAATTTTAGCCTCACATTTTGATGATACAAAGTTCTTTCAAATCACTAATTTTGCATATTACTAGTAAATAATGAAATGGTATATTTTACTATACGAATAAGTTTCCGTGCCTTGAAAGATACTGACTTGTATATGTATTTTTAGCTTACAAATGTAATTTGTAGTTAATTTTTATAGCGTATTTTACAAAGCAGATTATCCGTGAAAATTATATCGTACTTAACAAGGTTCAAATTTCGATTTAAAAAGCTTGTGTGGTGTGTATTTGAGATGGGGGGGTAGGGGCCATCACAAATGGCAAAATATTGACCGTAGGACATGCCAATTCGCGGAGTAATAGGAAAACTGCTTGATGCTTGAGATGTTTCTTGGAATTTATTAGACAAGTTCAGGAACTCCACATCTTAAAAGTTTCCCATTTGAAACTATGCGTTACCGTTCTGGGGAGAACTGCGAGGGCGGGCAACGGTAAATGGCCCGGAATAAAAAGGGTAACCGGGGAGAGGGGCAAATCGTTTTCGCGGCCGGGTCTGGGGAGGGGCTCGCTGGGAGAAAGGCCGCAGCTGAGGAAGCGTTTACCTTTAGGTAGGGCGGGCCTGGGAGACTAGAGCGCGAGCCCTCGACTCAGCTGGGGCTCAACCCGGACTCTTCCTCGTTCCTCGCTGGGGCCTTGGCATCACGGGTCCTGGGAGGGGTCAAGCGCCGGAGACTAGAAGGCAGCGACAGCAACGCCTCTTCCTGGCTGTAGCTAGAGCCAGGCTCCGGAGGCGGGCGCTTTTGCTGACGTCTTTGAGCGCGCCGGAAGTGCCTGCTTAGGAGAGGGGCGACGAGCCGACGACTACATTTGCGGGGTGTCCCGGCGGCCCGGAGTCGGTGAGCGCATTTTACCTTTCCACGAGGTGGACAGGGCAGGGCCCGGGGGCTGCTACGCCCGAGTCGAGCGAGCGGGCGGGTGGGAGGGCCGGTGTTTTCCGTGGCAGGACTTGGAGTCTCCCGTTGCATTTGATTCGTGCAGTAATTCTGCCCTTGCGGTGGAGGGTGTAGAGACGCAGTGGAGTTTGGAATAAAGGAAACTGTTGAGTCTGAGACACAGGTTTGCTTCTCTTTAGCGCCTTATTATGCAGAAAGAAGACTGAACTAGGTAACTTCAGTGACCCAAGATAAGTTAGGAAGTCGGTAAATTTAAAGAATGTGTTCGATGTACCAGTTCAGTATTAGGCACTTTGAGAGCTACAAAAAAAGTGTAAAACAGGCCTTTTTCTGGCGGATATCTGAGTCTAGTTGAGACAAGGTCAACTCGGATTCACAGAATGACTCATCTTGAGTTGGTATGGACAAATGTTGGACTACTTGGCGCCTTTTTCCGTCCTGTAAATCTATAATGGGCACACACTGCTTTTTCTCTTAAGAGGAGGTGAACGGGCCCATCATCCCTACAGAAAAATCAGAAACTAATACAGGGTAGTTTATACTTCTACCCACCAACACACACAGACCAGGCCTCTAACCATTCCTTGGGAGCCTGCGTGTCAGCAGCCTGGAATCCAGAGCCTCTCCTGGAGTCTGCACGCAGTCAATCCAGATTGAAGCCGGTGTCTTCTAGAGAGAAGGAAGTGCATCCAGGGCGCAGCCCGAATGCCTCCACATCCACCAGGGGACCGCTGGGACTAATTCTCTTGGCAAACTTGTGGCCAGCCAAAGCTACCATGCTTCACATCCCCGTTATTTTTGGTTACCGCCGAAGATGTAAGCCCCTTTGGTCTTCTATGCTACACCCTCATCCCCATGCTGCTTTGTACTTCCTCTCCCTTGATTTAGGCTATCACTGCTTTTCCCTCCTTTTCTTACCCATTTCACCCCTCAACACAACAGCTGAGCTCGCTGAAACCTCTATTCCCTGCTAACAAACTCTTACATGTTCTTCCACTTGATGGAAACTCTCATCTCCTGACCATAACCAGCACTTGGCTTTTTGCCTCCTGCCCTTTCAGTTGAGTCCTTTCTCTGACACCTGCATTTGAGGTTAAGTTGATGGCTCTGCCTGTATTGAATTGATTTCACTTCCTCAGAATATTTTTCCTCCCCCCCCCCCCAGGGTCTTTGTAGAGTTTTCTTTTCTCTCTTGTAGCATTTGATTTCTCTGACCTTTCTTCTGCCTCTTTGTGGATAATCCCTACACCTGCTAAGGGTTTCACTTTCCCTATGACTTTCTTTGAGGGATATTTTGTAACTTTCCCCAGAGGGAGTTAGATACCCTTGCCATATGCCAAGTGCCCTCTACTTTCCTCATCATAGCACTTACCACATGTGTGCTAATTAATTGCTTGTCTCTTTGCTTTCTCTACTGAGTTAGGCTGTGGGGGAGGGACTTTTATTTTCTTGTTTATTTTGGTAATTCCAGTGCCCATAGGCAGTCAGGTATTTCTTTGATTGAAACTGCTGCAGATACAGTCTCAGAAGTTGGGCAGTTGACATGTCATCTGACTTTAAGATGTTAAGAACCTTTGGAAAGGGATCAGCTGGTACTTAGCTTCAGCTAATTGTGGCTTTGTGAGAATATGATTCCAGTGTTGCCAGAGCATGAAAAACCTACAGGTTTTTCAATAATAGAAATATGGTTTTGGAAAGTGATATCTCTCAGTTTTTAAGTGTTGTCAATGGAATAACGTTTTATTACAAACAAAACAAAACCAAAGAAACCCTGGGCCAAACACATGTCACATGCAGCCTATCAGTTACCAGTTTGGAATCCATTTTAGTGTGGTAGGGCTTAGAATTGGGCTTTGTGGAGAATACTAGATTTTGAGCTTGGTCTTCACGGATGGTTCGAAGTTGAATGAGAGAATGGAAAGAGGTACTGTAGTTTGAGAAATATATCAAATAACTCCAGGGTGGTGTGTGTGTTACTTTGTGGCACAGTGAGGAGGCTGGCACACATGATCTTTTTGGAGAGAACAGGAGTTTAGGTGAGATGAGAGAGGGCAGAGGAGTTTGGATTTGTTACAGTTAATTGATGTGAAACAATTTAGATTCTTGATAAGGGAAACTTCAGATATGGATGATGTATTAGCAAAGTTAACTGAGTATCCTTTTTTAAAGGTAGAATGGAGAGGAGAGCTGAGACTGGAAGGAGGTTGAGCAGTTAAGATTGTAAGCTTTATCCAGATGGAAGTAAGATTTAGATTTGTAAACATATATAGGCAAACATCTGGTATTTTTATAATTTCAATTACTTGATCACTTACATTGAACAATCAAGAATCTCCTAAGTATTTAATACAGTATAGTGGGGCTTATATAAGAGGTATCCTTAAAGCACGAAAAATCAAGTAATTTGTGAAACTAGCAGAGAATGCAGTACTTTAAGTTAGTAGTCAGTAGTCTCCTTTCCTTAAGCCTTATTCTCCTTTAATCTGTCTTTTTTTTTTTTTTTTTTGAGAAATACTTTATTTACTTGTCAGACAGAGAGCGAGAGAGTGCACAAGCAGGCAGAGGGAGAAGCAGCCTTCCCGCGGAGCAGGGAACCCGACGCGGGGCTCGATCCCCGGACTCTGGGATCAATCCCAGGACTCTGGGATCATGACCTGAGCAGAAGGCACACGCTTAACCGACTGAGCCACCCAGGCGCCCCCTCCTTTAATCTGTCTTGTATACTGTCAGGTTAATCTTCTGGAATGATATTTTCCCCTGCACCTTATTTCTAGACTTAAAAGCCTGCAGTGAGCTTCTCCTCTAGCTGCTTACTTTGTATTAGCGTTTAATGCACTTGAATGTGTTCTGTCTTTGCCTGTTACCTTTGTGAAGCAATGTGATATGATGAAAAGGGCGTGGGATTTAAAGTCATGCAGACCTGAATGATTCCAGGCTTTGGCTCTGGGATTGAGCTTTTCAGAGCCTCTGTGCTTTATCTGAACTAGGAGAGGTAATATCTACTAAAGGGGAGGAAAGGAAAGCTTGTCGAATTCCTAGGCAGGCTTACTTTCCGTTCCTTTGCAATGCAAATCTTCCATTCTGATCAGTTCCAACTTTCTCAGACACATCTTCCATAATTCTTTTACCTTTTTTTTTTTGGATTCCATTATCATTCATCCACATTTAAGCAATCTCTCAAGACTCTATTTAAATTTTCTTGGCTTTCTTAACTACCATTTCCTACATTTATCCCCCTCAGCATGGAACAGGGATTAATCTTAGATATTTTGCTCTATTTTGACCATGTTAATTGACATCAGTGTTCGTTTTTTTTCATAGACCTTCACTAATTATGTTCTAAAATTCATTTTTAATTTAGTTGTCTGGAATTTTAAACATTTTCCAATAAATATTAGTAATATCTAGTTTCTGGGTTGAAGTCAGTCCTTAAAATCTTCTTGCTTCAATTTAACATGTCTGGAATATGTTTACCTTGCTTTAAGGTCAGTGGATCTCATACTGAGATGAGTTTAAGATTTTTTTTTTAAGATTTTATTTATTTGAGAGAGAGCATGAGCAGGGCGAGGGACAGAGGAAAAGTGTGCTAAGCTGTTGGGGAAGTGGTGGGGGTGAAGCTGGAAAGGCAAAAGCAAGGTCATAAATAAGCCTTTTTTTAAGGTTAGGGTTGAATCTTCATTCTTCAGTATATGGGGAATTACTGAGAGATTTTTAAATCAGGTGTCTTATCAGAATGAACTTTCTGGCTACAATTTATAGGGCGAGGGAGAAGCAGAGAGAAGTGTTTTACTGCTGGGGAGTCCAATAGCTAGACGAGGAGCATCTGATATTTATATAATGAGGCAATAGAAATAACTGGATTTGGGCGCCTGGGTGGCTCAGATGGTTAAGCGTCTGCCTTCGGCTCAGGTCATGATCCCAGGGTCCTGGGATCGAGTTCCACATTGGGCTCCCTGCTCAGCGGGGAGCCTGCTTCTCCCTCTGCCTCTCTCTCTCTCTGTCTCTTATGAATAAATAAATAAAATCTTTAAAAAAAACCTGGATTTAATGAATAGTTAGATATGAAAAGTTTCGAGTCTTGGATGATTCAGGTTTCTGATTTGGGCTGTTGGGTACATGGTGTTGTCATTGCCTAAAATGGGGAAGACAGAAGATGAAGCAGGTTTCTGAGAAGTGTGAAGAACTTTTGGCATGTTGGGTTGCAGATGTTTGTGATATATTCTCTTGAACAGAGTCAGGATGGAAGTGGAGATGTGGGAATCATTTATCTAGAGGAGGCATATTACCAGCATTATTAAATTAACTCCATGAACACTGAGCAAATACATTGTGCAAGTTGTTCTAGGTGCTTATTATTAATGAACATAGAGATCCCTGTTTTCATGTAGTTCATATTCTTGGTAGCAAGGGACCAATAATATGCATCACAAATAAGTTATATAGTATCTTAGATGATTAGTGCTATGAAAAGAATAGGAAGCTTTAGGGGGATTAGATAAATGACATTAAGAAGATAATAATGAAGGAAGAAGAAGTTAGCCATGCAGATTGCTGGAGAAAAACATTCTAGGTGGGGAATTGCCAGTGCAAATGCCTAATGCTCATCTAGAGTATAAGGTCATATGTGACTTTTCTGTTCACTAGCCATAGTTCACTATCAAAATAGTTACTGATGAAAATAGAGTGAAAGGAGTGGATTTGGAGAGGAGGGAAAGCTATTTTATTCTGTTTTTTTTTTTTTAAGATTTTATTTATTTATTGAGAGAGAGCACAAGTGGGAGGAGGGGCAGAGGGAGAAGCAGACTCCTTGCCAAGCAGGGAGCCCGATGCGATATGGGGCTCCACCCCAGGATCCTGGGATCATGACCTGAGCAGAAGGCAGATGCTTCTTAACTGACTGAGCCACCCAGGCGCCCTGGTTTTTTGTTGTTGTTGTTTTTTAA